TCTTAATATATGTTTTGACGGATTTTACAGTCCGGGTATGACATAAAAGATACAATTTGTACTCTTCAAGTGAAATGTCACACGTCTCTAATTATATAGTAATATATCTCTGTTTTTTTTTTACGTAAAAAAGTATACTATTTTAATTGATCTAATACATTTTTTCACACAAGATTCCAACTCAATGCGCAGATACGTGCTTTTTTACAAATATTAATTAATTAATAATAAAAAATACTCGTAGCTACTGTAAATTAGTGAAATTCCATAGTGTAAGGACTTGTCGTACATAAGCTAATTTTTATTGGAGTTCCAGTTATTTTTACTTTTTATACAAATTAGTTTGTCAAATGTAAAAAATCTCTGGACAACACTGTAATGTAATGAATTTCCGGTGCATGCATTGTAATTTTTATAATTTGTTTTCACGTATCTTTCAAGGTGGGATTGTACTTTAAAGCGACCGCGGCAGCTATACCAATCGGTGGATATTACAACTTGTCGTAAATTAATCGCGTGGAATACCAACAACCTACTTCTTGACTGCTCCATCAGTTAGCCGGAGAGAACAATCTCCTTATATCTTTCAACGCCGATAAAAGTGTGCTGACACTTAGCTAGCACGCTCTTTTCAGTCGAAATTTGAAGTGGCTGTGCTTTCCGTTTCGATACTGAATTTATAATTAAATTTGTGATGCACACAAAATAAATATACAAACTTACTGGTCATATCGTGTGTCAGAAAGTAAATAAATCCAGAATTCCGGTCTGAAATGTGTGCTGGCGCAGGTACGTGAAATTCAAGTAGAAAGTAATCTCTAATGCATTTGGAAATGTGTATGCTCACACGGCGTATTTTGACTGACGAAAAAAAAAAAAACCTGACTTATTCCAACTCATCAATAGGATAATTTATACTCACGCCAACTTGGGGCTTTCACCAGACCATACAGTTGAGCCAAAGCACCACGAGGAAAATAAGTGATGTGCCCAAACGGGTTATGAGGCCTGTTGGCGTTTTTGAAATCATGCATGCAAGTAGGCGGCGCACGATAAAAAGGACTCGAAAGGACGGCACGCGTGAAATCGCGGAAAAACAACGTCGTCCCGCGTGCAATTGCCTCCTCGCACGGAACGCGTGGCGAAACACGAATAAGTATGGTAGCGGTACTCGGGAGGGTGCGAGTCTCGTTTTTTTAAAGTATACACACATCAACGCGTACTTACTCGGGAACTCTGCGTTTCCGCGAGTGCAGGACCGCTTATCGAGTCACACACCTACTCCTCGTCGTGTCATTAGTGTCATCGATGATTAAAACGAGTCTGTGTGTTACATGCGTGGCGGTAGTCTGCACAAGACGTATACCTGTATACCTGTAGTGAGCGCGCTTTCTACTGATTTAAATAAGATGCGTATGGATAGGCGAGTGATGTATACGCCCTAGATAAGTGCAATATTTCAAATGGCTTCTGATCTAAAAGTGAAACTAAAAGTAGACCTAGCATCGTAAATCATAATATCGCGCTCCATTTTTCGCGGTGAAAAAAAAAAAAATTTTTTTTACTCGAGTGCCTCGGCGGTCGAGCGTGTTATTGGCGATGGTTGTTTGGCAGTGTAGAGAAAGAAAAAAAGTAGGGGTAGGACAAAGGGAGATGAAATTTGAGTTATTTTGTTGCACGCGTGTTTGTTTTTACAAAAGCTCCATGAGAGGATGACATTTCACTCGTTCTTGATGACATGATCGCTGTTTGTATTCAGTGCTCGATTCAGTGGGCATTTGGTGATATCAAACGTATAGCTTTCTGGGTTCATATCTGTTTTTTAATGTCATGAGAATTTTTGTTTGAGTGCTGGCTTATAATTTAAACATTTTTGTGTTGGGTGCTTATGAAAATATATTTAAAAAAATGTCATTTCTGTTTTTTTTTTTTTTTTTTTTTTAATTGCAGGCCTAGAAAGATACTCTAATCGTCTAGGCAATACTACGTATGTAGAAAAGATTAAAACGAAGAAATTATGAAAATTACTAAAAAAAGCGCTGCAGTTATGTTTACCGAGAAAATATGCTGTAGTTTATACATCAGTCGTTACTATGCTTTTTTTTTTTCTTTTTTTTTTTTTTGAAGTAATTGTAATTTAAGAGGGTTATTATTGTACAGTCCATTTCTGTATCATTGTAAAAAAAATTGAGATTTGTGAAAAAATTTTTCTAATGTGACTATTTTTAGAAAATCACGTCAAGTATTTCATATTGTAAGATATTGCAAACTTCTTAGAAAATCAAGGAATAATGCTCTAAAATGAAATAAGTGTAACATGTTTTTTTCTAAATACAGATACTCTAACAGTTTTTAAAATATTCAAAACATGGATATTCTGATAGTATTCAACCTATATATTCTACTACGTTCAAACTTTGAATTATTATACGTTGAGAAGTCACTGTAAGACTATGTTAAATATTAAAATAATGTTATAATAAATTATGATCAAGGATAGTACAACATTTTCTAAAATAATTACTAATCAAATTATCGAAAAAAATTTTACTTCTCAAAAACTGTACCACTAGTCCTACTAAAATTTCAATACTTTTGTAGTAAATACTAAAAACTACTCATTCAATTTTTTTTCCAGAACTTATTTACTAGTGAAATTTCGTAGTAACCCCCTTCAGGATACATTAGATTCTCGTATTTGTATAATTTCATTATGACAGTTCTTTTTCTGCGAGTATGCACCAATAGTCAAGTTTTCAGACTAACTCAAGTTCTCATCTGATGAGGCTTCAACTCGGTAAACAACTTTTTTGCCTCTCATTGTAATGATTTTTAATCAGAGTTGTTAGTTTTTTTGCTACTTTGCTAATCTACATTTTACACAAGTATATCCGAAGAAAAAGTATAAGATTTTGACGAAGTACAATTTTTTTAATACATAACGTATATTTTAGATGTCAATTGATCGATTCAAATTGAAAAAATTACTTGAAAAAATCAAAACGTTAAAAAATCGATTTTTTGCCTTTAACACTGAGATATCATCGATGTTTTACAACGTGAAAATTTTAAAAATTGAAGATCCTCCCTATTCACACCCTAGGAAGATTTTTTTCATTCATGTAAATAGTTTGAAATTTCTTCAAACGTATAATTTTCGTTTTTTTTAAATTGAATCTTAAAAAACTTATTTCTTATTGAAAAAAGAGATACATGGGCTGAGACTGTACCTCCATCTATTTAAATATGAGCCTAATTTTATAAAAACATATAGTACACCAGACATTGTTTGTTATACTAGTGATAGGGTCAAATTTAGAAAAAAAATTTTTATTGTAGTTTTTACTGAAGGATGTTATACGCATCCAATGCCCAAATCTTAGCCCATTTTAAAAATAAATCGACAGCTTACAACAAATGATTAAATACTAAAATTGAACATCATAAAAGTGCAACCTTTTTCTTCCGAACGTTTTTTTCTATCGTATATTCGAACACCCAAAGTAAGAAAATTTGCATATTTTAGCACAAAAAAATAAGTTAACGCAAAAATTTTACAGCAGAAAAAAAGTAAAATTTATGTAAATTCGACATTTTCCTTTGTAATACCATCCAAACATTCTAGACGATAAAACTAACTGAATCATTTGAAGAATCATTTGACAGCACATAAACTTATGTTTTATGATTTGCTTTTGCATTTTTACCTTTTTAAGGAATAGTCAAATTAAAAACTTTCAGATAAGCATTGAAAAAATGTTTTTAAGATAAAAACTGATAAAAGCAGTGTAAAAATGTCGTGCCTTACACTTTTACGTTTTACGTACAGTCGTTTTCATAAATTCAATCACTAACTTTTTTTGTAGTTCATGAATTTTTTCGTTCTCAGTTTTTGTATTACAGTACTAAGTAATTATTATTTTTTTTTTCATTCGAAAATTAAATAATACTGTTAAGAAACTACATCACAACGCTGGATTTTGTTTTAATATTCAAACGCACCGTCAAAACGTTAAATAGAATTTATACCATTAAATATTGTCTGTGTAAGGATTTTTTTTGTTAAGAATTAATTAACATATAAAATAATTAATGAATAAAGTTAATAAAAAAAGAGATTCTGCGTCTTAGCTGCGAGACTTATTACGATAGGACGTGAAAATCGACGATCTCGTGCATTGAATGTAAAAACTTTTTAACATCGATTATTCTGCTGTGCAACTTTTTAATATATATATAACAATGGTAGTAATTACATGTACTTATAAAAATATTAATGTAATGCATATCAGTAATGCGTTTAAAAAAGGGAAAATTATTTAAAAAGAGAATGAACCCTCGAATAAACTGTTATTCACGGCATTTTAAATTTAAATCGTTTCAACAAACGGCTATATTTCCAAACCAAACGAGACTGTTAGAGGCTATTAAACTAATGTAAGTCGCCTTTGAACAATTGTACACAAATTCTTTCGGATGTTCGACAGAGCCGCTTATTAAATTGCTTTGTTTGCCGAAATGCTTTATTCTATATATAAATAAATTTCAACACGATTAGACGAAAGGCCTACCTAACATAAACACAAGACACGGATACACACAACTCAAAATCCATCAACACCACTAAGTATCGTTGACCAATGAAAACAAAAGCTATTTACAGGTAGGAAATTTAGTTGCAACATTAAAACAACAAATTAACCGTCACATGGCGATACGTGTTCTTGATTGAGTTAAATATCATACGGACACCGAAACTAGCAGATCAGCGTTGAACAAAAAAAAAGAAAAATTAAAAATATGCTGAAATGTGGTGGCAGATGTGTAAATGTAGAGGCACACAAGCATTCGAAATACACGGAAACGGAGCATATATTTGCCCTTTACGCCTATACAATACTTAATTGTCACGGTTGAAGTGGACAGTAAGTATAAGGTATACATAGGGATCAAACGGTATTACTGTCATAAATGTAAATAAATGTGTTGGATATACTCACCGACTGCGTGCACGTCTATAGTATCTCGTCCCCTCGGCTAGGATGGTCCACTACTGCCTCCTCTCTCAAAACAATATATATTACAATAATACACGGGTAAAGGTACAGGGCTCCCTCCCCCGAATTTTCTCTGGCGACAGGTGTGTGTCTGCTGTATGCTCCCATACACGCCACACGCCTATATTACTAGCCGGCGCGACTGCAATCGAAGGGAAGAACCGGCTTCCCAAACTGAACAGCTATAGGTAAGTATACTTATACGAAAAATGTACAGAGTCAATCCCGGCCCGCAGCGTATGCGGTGGAAAAGAGGAAATGTTACTAATCACACAAATATTTGTAGTACACGGCACTGGCAAATATTTACAATAATCAACTGAAATGCTCCACGATTAACAACAACAAAAACACAGAAAAGCCGGTGAAATTGTACATCCAAGCCTGCATCACGCGAGCGCGCGGTGACGGGTCTACGAGCACTACTCGCTCTTTAATGACGCTTCCGACTCCCGAGTCTCCCGACGCCAGTGTACTTACTGCCGCTTCCAAGTTCCAAACTCTCCAGCCGCCGCGGCTTCTCCCGTTCTCCGGCTCTCTTTCTCTCACACACGTTCCGCAGTCCAGTTGGCATATACACTGCATGGTAGGGAGGGTAAGTATATATCGCATCACCCGCTACACGTATATATGTATACATATACAATAGACAGAGGAGCACGCACACGAGCGCGAGCCGACTATGATCGTGCTTGTGAGCTACCCCCTCTTCTGGTCTCGGCGAGCGATTCGCCCCTCCTGCAAAATTTTTCTCCCCTTTCTCTCTATACACTGTGATCTGATGCTTCCGTAAGATATATATATATANAAATACAAGTCATGACAATGAAATCATATGAATCATCGAAGAGCTTCGTGATGGAGGATATATATATATATATATATATTTGCGGTTGCTTTCCTGACGCTTTCTTTGCCAAGGCTAAGTTGGCAAGATTTTTACACTGCCATCTAAAATGAATCCTAAACATTTATAATTGTCTGATGCGTTGGTTGCGTCGAGTGTTTACCGAGCAGTATGGATACATAATAAGTACATGCCACAGGGACATAATAAAGTCTGCAGAAGGAATCATCAGATGGATTACTGACACATGGCCAGCCGGTTTCAGATCTAAATAAAAAAGCAACACGTGTGCACTGACTATACCTATGCTATTTCTCATGAACATCGATCGATCTCCTGTCAAATTTTAAGCACACTTTGACGTTGAAAAATCGAAAGTAATACAACAAATTCAATATGGACAAACCAGTATTTCTACCCGAAGGGGTGGAGAAATATTTTGGGTACGGTACATTTTTTTTTTTTTTTTCTTACAGAGTAATCTCTGACATCTGCAAGTCATTTTTATACTTTTTATTGCATATATACTCATAAAATTATACCGAATAATGATTGAAGTTTGTAGCGTTAAAATTGAAAAGGTTATCCAAGTAAGTCGTTTCGATTGTTACGATTGAGAAAAAAATAATTTTCAAACACAAATTATATTTCGTAGCAGTTGTTTAGTATACCATCAAAAATTATGAGGAACACATTTTTTTACGCATAAACTTGTTTGGCCTAGAATATTCGTGTTACACAATTTAAAAAAATTTTGATTATTGTTTGGCAATGAGTTGAAACAATTGTTTAAAAATATTATAATTGAAATGCTAAATTTTATCTCCCCGTGGTTTTAATTTTAACTGTATAAAAAAACTATTTATAAACGATGAAAGAAAATGCTTTGGTTCAACTCTGGCACCTCATCGACCACATGGGAGTCTTGCTGACGCCCTACTATAGCAGCTAGAATACTTGTTAGAAACGAGAAAAGTCGATGAGGATAAGGATAAGGACAAGGCAGTATATACAAATGGACCCCTTTCATCCTCACCCATGGGAGACATATTTTGATGTTCAGCATAGGGCGCACGCCAACTGGCCCAAAGCCAGCGTATTCTTGGAGATATATAGGATTTACCGCTTACTGGTTATAAAAATTCAAGCTATTGACGTTGGTATAGGCCGAGAGATACTCCGAAGCTGTAAACTCATTTCGTGGATATTTAATTTTTTTAAATATTTCTATTATTATAAATACTCAACATTATAAGCAGTGCAGCACAAGGAACAATCTTTCTTCGAATGTAGTTGTGTACGTATGTTATTTTATTGTTAAAATGAACGGGGAGAACAGATCGAATTAAAACCAATATATTTCAGATAAGATACGAGCTTTCATTTGAGCTACGATGGAGTAACTGTTACTTAAATCAATTCGTTAAAGATTAGAAAAAAGGTATTTTTCTCTTATCCCATACTAAAAGATTGATTGTCATGTGACTGAAGCCTTTTTGTTCGTTATGTGATTTGTTGAAACAGTCCAAGTGTATTGTTTGGCGGGATTTTTCAAAGACCAATTTAATTGCGGAAAAAATTAAAATGAAATAAACTTATTACTTATATATAATCGAGAGTTATTCTACTCGATTTATTTAATCTTTAAAAAAAATGTTTAGACAAACAACGTTATTTAATCAAAGTTAGGACAAGATAAAATTACACGTAATTTTCCAATATTTCTAATATTAATTATACCGTTTTGCATAGATTAAAAAATTTTTTTTTTAATTAGTACTTTATAATTTATGTAAAAATATTGTATT